TTGAGCTCAGGAGATCCAGGCTGCAGTGAGCTATGATCACGCCACTGCAATCCAGCCTGGGCGACAGAGGAAGATCTATCTCAAAAAAAAAAAAAAGAAAGAAAGAAAAGAAAGTGGAACTGAGGTTGAAATACGGGTAATGGGGAATGAGGTTAAGCACCCTTGATTAATACTGAACTAGAGCTGAAGAGATGGGGCTTATGGCAGCTAGTGTCGCATGGATTAATGAGAGTAATTCCAAGCTGGCGAGGTAGCTCCCAGAGAACAGCAGGTGGCTTTTCAAATCGCAAATTTGTGCCTCTTTTGACTTTCCCCAAGGCACACTCCTATTTAATGAATATAAAATGCAAAACATAATGTTAGAATAGTTGTTTTTCTCCCCAGATACAGATGGTTTGTATACAAAGAAGGCAAGATACACTAATGTTTGTGGCACTGTAATGCCTGCTGTAATACTGAAGTAGGGATTCTTACCTCTTTAATGTATTTCCTGAACTCACTTTCTATTTTAAAGGAAAAATGTTCTAAGACCCTCAGAAGGGAATTCCAGTTTCTCAAGAGTGTTTTTAAAAATTAATTTCAATTTTATTAATCTAAAAAATCCAAAACTGAAACATGGTTAAGAAAACGGTAAATGCATACAGCATATCTGGCACAAAGGGTACTTTCCAGCACTGGCTAGTTCCCAAGTGGACTGATCAAAGTTTTCCCTTGCTTCTGGTTCAGGTCCCTACTCTCAGGACCAACTCCTCTTGACCTTTTGAAGACTTTTGTCTTCTCAGACTCTGAAAGAGCCTGGTATACTGTAATTCCTACTGTTTACCTGCATAGTCATAGTTAGAGTTCTTGGTAAGGCTGCTATGAGGATGAACTTAGTCCCACAGCCTCAACAGCTAGCTCTATGCTGGTGTCTCCCAAATTTAGGTGTCTAGCTGGACCCTTCTCTGGAGCTGAATCTTCTCTAATTACCAATGGGATATTTTTCACATCAAGACATATGGCACCTCAAAATCGCACATGTTTAAAAGAGAACTCCTTATCTCCTCTATTCCCTCTCAAGTCAATTCCCGCCCCTTGTACCACATTTTCCAAGTCTTCAGAGCCAAAACTTTGCAGTAGTATTAATTCCCTTATACTTCCCCCCTCTGTCTTCATTTGTTCCTGCTCTGTTATTCTGGCTTTTTTTTTTTTTTTTTGAAATGGGGTATTGCTTTGTCACCCAGACAAGTACAGTGGCATGATCACTGCAGCCTTGAACACCTACCTGTGCTCAAGTGATCCGCTGGCCTCAGCCTCCCAAGTAGCTGGAACTGCAGCTGCACACCAACACTCCTGGCTAGTTTAAAAAAATTTTTTTAGAGACTAGGTTTCACTGTATTGTCCAGGCCAGCCTCAAACTCCAGGCCTAGAGGGATCCTTTGGCCTTAGCCTCCTGAGTATCTTTTTTCTTTCTGTTATATAATTCATAAATTTAGGCTGAGTATGGTGGCTCACACCTGTAATCCCAGCACTTTGGGAGGCTGAGGTGGGTGGATCATTTGAGGTCAGGAGTTAAAGACTGCTCTCGCCAACATGGTGAAACCCCATCTCTACTAAAAATACAAAAATTAGCCATGGATTAACGGTGTGCACCTGTAATCCCAGCTACTCAGGAGAGGTTGAGGCAGGAGAATTGCTTGAGCCTGGAGGTGGGGCTTGCAGTGAGCTGAGATCGTGCCACTGCACTCCAGTCTGGGCAATAGAGTGAGACCCTGTCTCAAAAAAAAAAAAAATCATAAATGTATTCACTGTTTATTGTCCCTCATTCCCACCTCCAATTTAACCTCTGCGATGGCAAGGGTTTTTATTTTGTTCACTGATACAGCTCAGGCAACTTCAACAATAACCAGCATATATTAAGTGCTCAATAAATATTAGTTGAATGAATGAATCCCTTATGGCGTGGGAGTTAGGAGTTCATCCTTTTTTATTTGCATCTGAATTTAAATTCCATTTGTGACAGTTACTAGTTGGTATCAAACTCCTACGCTTAAGCCAGGAGTGTCCAATCTTTTGGCTTCCCTGGGCCACATTGGAAGAATAATTGTCTTGAGCCACACATAAACTACACTAACACTAATGATAACTGATGGGCTAAAAAAAAATTGCAAAAAAATCTCATCATGTTTTAAGAATGTTTACAAATTTGTGTTGGGCCACACTGAAAGACATCCTGGGCCACATGCGGCCCGCAGGTCATGGGTTGGACAAGCTTGGCTTAAGCAATCCTCCTGCCTTGGCCTCCCAAAGTGCTGGGATTACAGGTGTGAGCCAGCATGTCTGGGCTGTGATGGGATATTTCAAATCACACATATCACACACCCTGCAGTCTATGAGAATTATTTCACACATTCAAACAAATCTTCATCCCCTCTTGTGATCTTTAAGCTGGGCACAGGATTTTGGATGGTGTATATATTTTCATACTCGTAAGGACGCTTCCTGGAAGGAATCAACTTCATTTTCAACACAAACATAAATTGAAAGCTAGGATTAAAAATCAGGCTCCTTGAGGGTGGTGGCCACATCTGTTTTTGTTGTTGTTGGCTTATTTTTCGAGATGGAGTCTCGCTTTGTTGCCTAGGCTGGAGTGCAGTGGCGCGATCTGGGCTCATTGCAACTTCTGCCTCCTGGGTTCAAGTGATTCTCATGCCTGAGCCTCCCAAGAAGCTGGAATTACAGGCATGCCCCACCACACCTGGTTAATTTTTGTATTTTTAGTAGAGACAGGGTTTTGCCATGTTGGCCAGTTTGGTCTCAAACTCCTGGCCTCAAGTGATCCGCCTACCTCGGCCTCCCAAAATGCTGGGATTACAGGCATGAGCCACCATGCCCAACTAGCCACATCTGTTTTGTTCACCAGTGTATCCTCAATACCAAACAGTGCCTAGCCTGAGGTAAGCACTCAGATCATTTGTTGAATATGCATTCTCACTGTTTAGGTTTTCTATTATGTTTGTTTTTCTTTATTCAAAAAGATATCTCAGTAAATGAGAGATCCAAATTTCAAAACCCTAAAAGGTCAGAGATTTTATATTAGAATTTGAGATGTTTCCACATAGGCAAATGAATTCCTCTGGGAAATCTTTCAGAAAGACAAAACCTTTGCCAATTCCATCACAAAGGGAAATCCCCTGGAAGCTGACTTCATGAATATGTGCCATCGGGCTCCAGGCAGCAGCTAAACTACTCACTCAGGTGGACTTTCCCCTGGGTGAGGGAGCTTTCAGAAATGTCTGGGTACCAATACTGCAGCTCTAACACAAGCCTGGGTGGCAGACTTGCTGTGTCTGTGTGGAAAGTTTGATCTTCCTCTCTGTGGGGCCATCAAGTTAGGCTTTTTGAAATGACTTTCTGGTTTTTTGAAAAAATTTAGAGATGACTTAACATCTCGTGAGTCTTGGAAAATGTCCTGGGGGCCTCCATTTGGCAAGGCCCACATTCTCCCCTGGGGGTGGAGGTAGGTGGAAGGTAGGGGTTACCCACAAGGCAAAGGTAGAAAGTGGCAGTGTAGATTCCCAGAGACTGCAGACATGCTGAATCACATGGTGTTTAAAGGCAAGATAAGAATGCAGCCCTTAGCTTAAGGTGCTCTGCCGGCAGTTTTAGTGAGCCAGGGAATAGAAAAATGAAGGCTGTGTTTCTATATGATATTAGTAGGTGTTGAAACACAGTGCCCTGTGAGTTGGCCACTTGCAATACACATCTTAGGGGAGTCTCCCGATGTTAAGGGGCCCCAAAGGACAGCTGTAGCAAGGACAGAGCTAGGGATGTAGCAGTTTTGGGTAAAGAAAGATGTAGGACTCTGCCCAGCTCTCTGGCCAGACTTTCACTAATTCAGAGCTTCCTCCCTGAGGAGAAGAACCTGGCTCTTTATCTTTCCCTTTTTTATCTTTCTCAGATCCTTCAGTTCTTCCTGCACCCCAGTAGCTATGGTTTGCTACCTAGGACTTCAGTCATTCTGGATGAGTGTTGGAGAAGGAGAAAAGAGTACGAAATTTCTCTACTCTAGTTCTGTAATTTATGGGTAAAGGACAAATGTCGATCAGTGACAGACTGGATTAAGAAACTGTGGCACATACACACCATGGAATACTATGCAGCCATAAAAAAGGATAAGTTCGTGTCCTTTGTAGGGACATGGATGCAGCTGGAAACCATCATTCTCAGCAAACTATTGCAAGAACAGAAAACTAAACACCGCATGTTCTCACTCATAGATGGGAATTGAACAATGAGATTACTTGGACTCTGGAAGGGGAACATCACACACCGGGGCCTATTATGGGGAGGGGGGAGCGGGGAGGGATGGCATTGGGAGTCATACCTGATATAAATGATGAGTTGATGGGTGCAGCACACCAACATGGCACAAGTATACATATGTAACAAACCTGCACGTTGTGCACATGTACTCTAGAACTTAAATTAAAAAATTAAAAAAAAAACAGAAAAAAAATTTATGGGTAAAGGGAAGGGACAAGTGGAGCACCAAATGTGGTTTGAGGTGTGACTTCTGTGACTTACATGAGGCAACTTACATGAGGTTATGCTTCTCATAAGCCCTTCAAACCCCTTCAAACCCTTCAAAGCCCTTCAAACCCCAGATTCCAATAAAGCAACACTCCTCTGCCCCCTTGTCTGTGACATCTAGTGTGGTTCTTCTACCCTCTGGTACCAATGGTGGATGCAATACAGTGTTTAGCAAGATAGCAGTCACACAACTATCATTATTTCCCTTCTGTGCCATCCCCTTATTAACCAGTCAATGTGGTTCTGTGCCTGGATTCTCTCAGCCATTCCCCAAAATAAATGCTGTCCTTTGGTTTGGAGGGAATAAACTTGTATCACTTCAACCCAAAGGACATTTAAATACAACTATGCATGAACCCCTCTATAGAGCCAAAACATTTAGCTTTTCAGTTCACCCTTGTTTTTAGCTATAATAACTTCAGTATTACCCTCTTACGACTTTTGATGTTTCTCGTTTTTCCAAGCTCTGCCTTAAATGAGAACCTGATGCTCAGCTTCTTGTTTCTGGAAGCCAAGGACTTCGAAAAACACTGAGAATTCTCATGGGTCTCCCCGCAATACTGGAAGAAACAGCAGAAGACCCCAGCTGGCTTGGGCTTAACCGTTGGTGGTTTTTAACATACAGCTTCCCCTTAGGCATGTTAACACAGGAAGCTCTTCATAGCTTGAGAGAACAGCAAAAGTTCCACTGAAAAATAAGATGGGGAAGGGTGGGAGAAGGGAACGGTCATATCGTGAACTTTGAAAATGGCCAGGTTCTGCTCTGTCAGCAGCACTGGGTTTGAATCTGAGCCTTGCCACAGATTACTTGGTGACCATGATCTCAGTTTCTTCTCTCAAACAGGTGAGTATGCTGTACCCACTTTAAGAGCATAGAGTCCACTACGGTGAAATTAAGCCACCTACTATTTGACTGGAACTCAGCTTCTTTGTGAAAGAAGGGGGCACACTGATGAATAAGGCCTGAATTGTCGGCTATTTCGCTTTAATCTATCCCTAGTAAAGAATGAAACCAAACAGATACTGCATGGGCCTGCACTGCATGGGCCTGCACTGCACACTGCTATTATTCAGAAGTGAAACTCACTGTCTTAATTTGGAAAGCAGCTAATTCTTACCTCACACACATGCAGCCTCACCCATTAATGTTGATGGGGGATGGAAGTGCAAGATCAATTATTTCATGGCGCCTCCCTACATCTTGGAATCTTTATGAATTTTATTTAGACTTTATTCACTCTATTCCCCACCCCCACCCCCAGCTCCTGAGGGTGGGGAACGGGAGGTGCAGAGATTGGCCAGTCACTAAGTGAGTCAAGAACAGAGAGGAAATAAGACTCAACAGCCTTCCCTTTAGCCTAGAGACACTTCCTCTTCCTTGAGGTTTCCTAATTGACTTACTCTAATTCCTATTTTCTTACCACAAAATTAAGTCATCTGTGATGCTCAGAATGAACCAAATTCTCTTGAGGGTAATTGGAGAGAGGGAGAGAGAAAATGCAAATGAATGAGGTTTCTGATCATTTTGACCAATATTTTCAGCCACTAATTTAGAAACTAGTTCTTGAGAGTCCAGTTATTGATAGAAAAGCAAGAGTGTGCTACAGTTTTTTTTTTTCTTTTTTGATAGAGTTTTGCTCTGTCACCCTGGCTAGAGTGCAGTGGTACGATCTTGGCTCACTGCAACCTTTGCCTCCCAGGTGATCCCCCCACTTCAGCCTCCCAAGTAGCTGGGACTACAGGCATGCACCACCATGCTTGGCTGATTTTTAATTTTTTTGTAGAGATAATGTCTCACTATATTGCCCAGGCTGGTCTTGAACTCCTGGGCTTAAGTGATCCTCCTGCCTCGGCCTCCCAAAGTGCTGGGATTACAGTCATCACACCTGACTCCTGTTTTATTTTCTACTTGCTTTTGAATGACTTGATGAACCTCAGCTGAGATCCTCAAACTTCACTCTAAATGTATTTCTTTTTTTTTTTTTTTTTTGAGGCGGAGTCTGGCTCTCTTGCCCAGGCTGGAGTGCAGTGGCCGGATCTCAGCTCACTGCAAGCTTCGCCTCCTGGGTTCACGCCATTCTCCTGCCTCAGCCTCCCGAGTAGCTGGGACTACAGGCGCCCGCCACCTCGCCCGGCTAGTTTTTTGTATTTTTTAGTAGAGACGGGGTTTCACCGTGTTAGCCAGGATGGTCTCGATCTCCTGACCTCATGATCCGCCCGTCTCGGTCTCCCAAAGTGTTGGGATTACAGGCTTGAGCCACCGCGCCCGGCCTTTCTAAATGTATTTCATCCATAATGGCGAAACAAAGGCAAGTTCCAAAAATCAACCACAGACAGCAGATTTAGGCATTCCAAAGATTCCAAATGAAACATTCCAAAGATTAAAAACTCTGGGATGATGTCTTAACAACTACATAGCAAGAGGCCAGGCGCGGTGGCTCATGCCTGTAATCCCAGCACTTTGGGAGGCCGAGGCGGGCGGATCACGAGGACAGGAGATCAAGACCATCCTGGCTAACACGGTGAAACCCCGTCTCTACTAAAAATACAAAAAATTAGCCGGGCGTGGTGGCGGGCATCTGTAGTCCCAGCTACTCGGTAGGCTGAAGCAGGAGAATGGCGTGAACCCGGGAGGCGGAGCTTGCAGTGAGCGGAGATCGCGCCACTGCACTCCAGCCTGGAGGAAAGAGTAAGACTCCATCTCAAAAAAAAAAAAAAACGAGTACATAGCAAGTTTTATTTGTTACCACAGTAGCATGTACAGAGTAGAAGTCTAATGAATAAACCTTTAATTCACTGAATATATCATATGATTATAGAGGATGGCACTGAGAAGTTGTTATTTTTGGAGTATCAGTGAGGCGTCAGACACCACAGATTAAGTTCCCACTTAGCCAGCTCACACACAAAATACCAAGGAGCAAGAGGGGAATTCACTTAAAGGAGAAGTAGGCATTAGAGGTAAAAATCAGGAAGACATTTTCAAACAACTTCTCCAAAGTAATTCAACATTTACTGAACCCCCTCTTTGGGCAAGAAGCTGGGCCAGCTGCTCTGGGAGACACACAGATGAACCTGATGGCATCCCCACCAGAGTTCCATGGGGAAGACGAAACATGAATGAAAGCAAAGCTAACATGAAGCAGTCTGTAGTACATAAGGAAATGTGTAACAGCAGCACAGATGAGAAAATGACCTTATATGCTCATGGGCCAGAGGGAATGTAAGACTACCTGTTGGAAGATGCATGTCCAAGCTCAGCTTAGGACAGGGAGAACTCTTAACAAGTATGTTAAGAGCAATGTTAGGAGCAATGTGGTAGGTACTACAATGCAACATGGAATGGGAGTGGCATAAACAAACAGAGGAAGAAGAAAAGAGCCCGTGTTTAGAGCAAGTTAGGCAATGGCCTAACTTAACTAGGACACAAAAAATGTTTTGGATTATGGTACAAATGAAAGGAGCTGGCCTTGGATACTAAGCTAAGGAATTTATGCTCTATCTAGTTGGAAGGCTATGGGGAGACATTTAGTGTTTTTGAGCAAGGAGAGTGCCCAAGACTAGAATTATGCTTTGGGAAGATAAACCTGGTAGCTGTATTTATGAGGAACTGTCACTGGAGACGTCAGCCAGGAGGCTATTGATAATAGACCAAGTGAAAGTTTTTGAAGGTCTGAACTGGGGTAAGTAGCAATAGGAATGGAAAGGAGAGATTATCTGCAAGAAATTTTTAAAGGCTGGATGCGGTGGCTCATGCCTATTTATAATCCCAGCACTTTGGGAGGCCAAGTTGGGAGGATTGCTTGACCCCAGGAGTTTGAGACCAGCTTGGGCATCGTGGCAAAACCCTGTATCTACAAAAAATAAATTAACCAGGTATGGCGGTGTCCACCTTATAGGGTGCGTGCCAATGGTCCCAGTTACTTGGGAGGCTGAGGCAGGATAATTGTTTGAGCCCAGGAGGTCAAGGCTGCAGTGAGCTATGATTGCATCATGGCACTCCAGCCTGGGCAACAGAGTGAGACCCCATCTCCTAAAAAAAAAAAAGTTCTAGTCTAATATCCTATTACACCTATTGTAAAAATTTTAGACTATGCAGAAGATGAAGTAAAAATCATCCACAACCCAACATCCAGAGATATCTATTAACATTGTAGAATCAATGAAATGTTATTCCTTCCAGACATTCTCCTCCAAGTATTTTCTTTCTTTCTCTCTCTTTTTTTTTTTGTAGAGATAGGGGTCTCCCTGTGTTGCCCAGGCTGGTCTTGTACTCCTGGGCTCAAAAGATTCTCCCACCTCAGCCTCCCAAAGTCTTAGGATTACAGGTGTGACCCACCACACTTGACCAGCCGAGTATTTTCTTTCCTTCATTTAAAAAATGGGATCTTACTAGACATACCATTTTGGAGCTGCTTTTTCATTGACTCTATGCCAAGGTACAAAGTATCAGCGGGGCACAGTGGCTCACACCTGTAATCCCAGCATTTTGGGAGGTGAAGGTGAATGGAACACCTGAGGTTAGGAGTTTGAGACCAGCCTGGCCAACATGGTGAAACCCCATCTCCACTAAAAAATACAAGAAAATACTCCACTAAAAATTAGCCGAGTGTGGTGGCATGTGCCTGTAGTTCCAGCTACTTGGGAGGCTGAGGAAGGAGAATCGCTTGAGCCCAGGAGGCAGAGGTTGCAGTGAGCCGAGATCTTTCCTTTGCACTCTAGCCTGACCCTGTGGGGTCTCACTCTGTTGCCCAGGCTGGAGTGCAATGGCTCAATCTTGGCTCACTGCAACCTCTGCCTCCCAGGCTCAAGCAATCCTCCTACCTCAGCCTTCTGAGTAGCTGAGATGACAGACACATGCCACCGTGCCCAGCTAATTTTTGTCTTTTTGTGGAGATGGGGGGAATCTCACCAGGCTGCCCAGGCTGGTCTTGAACTCCTGGACGCAAGAAATCCTCCTGCCTTGACCTCCCAAAGTACAAAGTATCATTTTAATCATTGTAATGTTAAAAGTTATGTTTAGGTTAGGTGCAATGGCTCATTTCTATAATCCCAGAGCTCTGGAAAGCTGAGATAAGTGGATTGCTTGAGGCCAGGAGTTTAAGACCAGCCTAGGAAACATAGTGAGACCCTGTCGCTAAATTTTTTTTTAATTTACAAGTAGGTTAGAAAATTATCTGGGGGTGGTAGAGCGTGCCAGTAGTACCAGCTACTCAGGAGGCTGAGGCAGGAGGATTGCTTGAGCCCAGGAGGTCAAGGCTGCAGTGAGTCATGATCACACTGCGCTGTACTACAGCCTGGGTGACAGCAGGACCTTGTCTCAAAAAATAAAAAATTAAACTATTGTTATTTACTTCTTCCCTTATTTTGAATAATTACTTCCAATTTCATTATTGTCAATTACACTATTATGAATAAGCTGTTTTCAAAGTGGTTCAGTTTGAGTGTCTCAGGTGAAGCTGCTCAGATGCAAATGTGGAATTGGAAAGAAACCGGTGATAGAGATGACGCCTTCTTTTCAGAAAGTTGCTATGAAACTGTCCCTGGGGAAGCACAGTTTTGTCCAGTCAGAAGCCTAAAGGTATTTATAAGTAAATGGGAAAGAGCTGGAGGAAAAGGATTAACTGAGAATAAGATCCCAATTCAGCAAGAAGGAACAGCACGGAAGTAGGTGGAAAAAGTAACCTAGGGCCGGGAGTAGTGGCTGATGCCTGTAATCCTAGCACCTTGAGAGGCCAAAGCAGGAGGATTGATAGAGACCAAGAGTTCAAGGCCAACCTGATCCTGTCTCTATTTTATAATTAAAAAAAATTTTTTTTTCTTTTTAAAGTAATCTAGGAAAGAAAAGGGAGAAAAGATTCAGGAGAGGAAAATTATTGGAAAAGGCAAACATTGATGAAGAGGTTCGTAACAGATGGCTTTTAGTTTCTGGTTAAGTCTGCTGAGCCTGAGAATGATGAGACTGACTCAGGACTTGGACTCACGGGTGTCGTTTTATTACTATTGTTTATATAATTGTGGAGCTCATTGAGGCCCTTACTTCTCAAATTATAGTCTGCAGCACTGGCATCACGAGGTATGTCAGATCTGAATCAGAACTGCCATTTTGAGTGGGATCCCCAGGTGATTCTATGCCCATTAAATTTGAGAAGCACTGTGATGGCCCATCTTCCCCACTTAACAGAAAAGGAAATGAACGCTCCAGGAGATTAGCTGCTTGCAACTTACTTTTGCAGAGTTAAGACTGCAAAGGTTGGGAGAGCTCCTTCAGGAAATTAATGGGAATTTCATGACTTTTCTAGCAATACTATGGTATATAGGAGTGGAGAATGTGGAATGGTCTGTGGTTACTCAAAATAAGGTTTAGAATTGAAAAGATGATCAAAGGAGGTAAAAAGTATGAAAGAATTTGCACTGCTATTGAAGCCATCACTCTCATTAATGCTTTGACAGGCAGGATAGGGAGAAAGGCAAGCAAAGTCAGATGAGAAAGGGCAATAGAGGCTTCCTAGGTGAGGAAGGGATATGTCCAAGAACAGGTCAATGGGAATTTAACCCAATGGTGGTTGGGTTTAAAGGAGTGGGGCAGGTAAGGAGGCTGTGGACAAAATGAGGAACTTGAAAGTTTACAATCCTGAAACTAATCAAAAAGGTTGGCCATCTCATAGGGAGCCAAAAATCACAAAATCAGTTAAGCGTGGTTGTGCGTGCCTGTAATCCCGGCTACTTGGGAGGCTGAGGCAGGAGGATCGCTTGAGCCCAGGAGTTTGAGGCTGCAGTGAGCTCTGACCACACCTGTGAATAGCTACTGCACTGCAGCCCGAGCAACACAGTGAGACCCCATTTCTAGAACAAACAACAACAACAAATCATGAGACTGGAGTTAAGAAACAATGAGATCAGGCTGGGTGTGGTGGCTAATGCTTGTAATCCCAGCACTTTGGGAGGCCAAGGTGGGCTGATCACTCGAGGTCAGGAGTTCAAGACCAGCTTGGCCAACATGATGAAATCCTCTCTCTACTAAAAATACAAAAATTAGCTGGGCATGGTGGTGCGTGCCTGTAATCCCAGCTACTCGGGAGGCTGAGGCATAAGAATCACTTGAATCTGGGAGATAGAGGTTGCAGTGAGCTGAGATCACACCACTGCACCCCAGCCTAGGTGACAGAGTGAGACTCCAACTCAAGAAAAAAAAAAAAAAGAAAAAAGAAAAGAAACAATGAGACCAAAATGTGGATGGAGTTGGAATCTCTGGTGATACTGGTAGTGGGAGTGGAAGAAAAGCACATTTTTTTTTTTTTCTGTATTTTTAGTAGAGACGGGGTTTTGCCATGTTGGCCAGCCTGGCCTCGAACTCCTGACCTCAGGTGATCCACCTGCCTCGGCCTCCCAAAAGGCTGGGATTACAGGAGTGAGCCACCATGCCAGGCCGAAAAGTACATTCTTATAACATGTATAACGTACAAACTAATCAATACTGATTTCCTCACATAAACTTCCCTTGGTGTGTTGATGAACGAAGAGTTACATGATTTGCTTTAAAAAATAAAAAGTTCTTTGTTCCTTAGATGTTCTCTTCAAAAACACGGTCTGACCAGAGTTTACTTTTTTAGGAGTTGGAGATCAGAGGGTCTGAATTAGAAAAGACCCATTACATCAAGGATTTGACCACTCCTACCAGAATAGCACTAAGTGCCAAAGGACGTGACCCTTAATTTGAGCCAATAGCTATTATCAGGGTTCAGCTTCTGTGAATACAGATTTCCTTCTGAATAAAGCAAGCCTTGAGTAGAAATTTGTGAGTATTCAGCTATGCAAGTAGTATTTGATGGTGTCCAGCAATGCTCTAGTTTAAGGTGGCTGCCCCTTTTTATGAATTTACATTATTAATTATTAGAATACATGAGGCTGAGTGCGGTGGCTCACACCTGTAATCCCAGCACTTTGGGAGGCTGAGGTGGGCGGATCACCTGAGGTCTGGAGTTCGAGACTAGCCTGACCAACATGGAGAAACTCTGTCTCTACTAAAAATACAAAATTAGCTGAGCATAGTGGCGCATGCCTGTAATCCCAGCTACTCGGGAGGCTGAGGCAGAAGAATTGCTTGAACCAGGGAGGCAGAGGTTGCAGTGAGCCGAGATCACGCCATTGTACTCCAGCCTGGGCAACAAGAGCAAAACTCCATCTCACACAAACACACAAAAAGAATACATGAGGATGAAGTGACTATAATAACGGGGAAAATTTTTCACTTTCTGTCAGGTGAAAAAAAACATGTTACGAAAGAGTTCATAGAGAATAAGTATACATGTATAGAAAAATAAAAAATGAGTATATATGTATAGAAAAATATATACGTATAACAACTTAATAGCAATAGACTGTCCAGTCATGGAACACAGGACAGAAAAAAAAGCAGGTTTGGATTCTAGAGCAAGGTCATTGAAAAGAGGAATAAAATATAAGAATGATTTATTTTCAAAGAATCAGTAATATAAGTACACCTAAGCAACAAGTCTGGGTGAGGGACTTACCTCTCCGAAGACCTGCCATAGCCACCTCCAAAGGAAGCTACTTCACGAGGTGGAGGCTCCATCCCATTCTCCCAGCTTAGGACACTACCCTGCTCCAGCAGGGCCACATGGATGGAATTGTCAGGGAATTCCATTGGTATCCTATTGGATACTGACATTCTCTGTTCTGATGCAGTCATAGAAAGCACAAGAAACCTCTTTTATTTATTTATTTATTTATTTATTTTTGAGATGGAGTCTTGCTCTGTCATCAGGCTGGAGTACAGTGGTGCAATCTCAGCTCACTACAACCTCCGCCTCCCGGGTTCAAGCAATTCTCCTGCCTCAGCCTCCTGAGTAGCTGGAACTACAGGTGCACACCACCACGCTCAGCTAATTTTTGTATTCTTAGTAGAGGCGGGGTTTCATCGTATTGGCCAGGATGGTCTCAATGTCTTGACCTCAGGTGATCCGCCTGCCTCGGCCTTCCAAAGTGCTAGGATTACAGACATGAGTCACCGCGCCTGGCCAGGAAATCTCTTTTAATAGTAGACTTTAACTATTTAGATGTGAACTGAAATTGTTATCTATATAATGTTCTAGTCTATCTGAGAGTGATGAGGCAACCTGACCTGGTCTCATTAAAATGAATTAATGTTTAACATATTCAAAATTAAAGCCCCTACTAATGATTTCTTAAGTATTTGCTTCTTGGGCTGGCTTTTAGCACTGAAGAGATGAGTGGGGTAGTCATTTTAATGTGCTCGATATTAACTCTCTACATCAAATTTCTTGTCAGAAGTTACCAAAAAAAACCTTCCCATGTAACTGCTATTTATAACAAATTATCACGATTATCATAATAACTCAATCCATTAGATAGGAGTATACTTCTGAGGGCACTCTGGTAGCAAAACAAACTATTTTTAGCTGCCATCAGTGACTAGATAATTGTCTTCCTGTTTACTTCAATTACCACTTAAAAGCAAGTTGTGTATGTAGTAGAGCCTCTGGAAGCACTCGTCAGATCAAATAATGGCAAAAAATGAAACAAAACAAAACAAAACAAAACAAAAAAACCAAAAACAAAAAACTAAACTTGGGGAGACAGAATGTCAGGAAATCATGAAAAAGTATAAATGGAGATGATGAAAGAAAATTAAAGATTATTTCTCAAATTTTATTACATTTATTCATCTGTGTTCCTGTCTCTGGTATTTTCATCCTGTTATTTTCTATGGCTTCCTCTATGTAGAGCTCTAAATGGAACTTCCTTTGTTTATTTAGCATAGACTTAAGCAGACTGCTTGTCACTGGCCAGGACTGCGCAGGTAAAAGCTGGTCCTATATCCTTTCTGCTCACTCCTAAGTGCCTTCTACAAATTTCCTTTCTTATTCTTGCTCCCCTCCTGCCTCCTGTAGGGCTGCTGGACTATAGAGATGCCTCATTTCAGGCTGTGCCGGGTGGCTCACGCCTGTAATACCAGCACTTTGGGAGGCTGAGGTGGGTGGATCACCTGAGGCCAAGAGTTTGAGAGTAACCAGGGCAACATGGTGAAACCCTGTCTCTACTAAAAAAGGAAAAATCAGCCGGGCGTCATGGCGCGTGCCTGTAATTCCAGCTGCCCGAGAGGCAGAGGCATGAGAATTGCTTGAACCCAGGAGGCAGAAGTTGCAGTGAACCGAGATCATACCGTTGCACTCCAGCCTAGATAAAAGATCAAGACTGTCTCAAAACAAAAACAAAATGGTGAGAAATCTGCTAGAGGACCAAGGAAGCAGTAATTATATTTAAGTACAGACTTGAGGAGAAAATTAATTGCATATGAAGAACAAGCCACCTCAGATGAGGTAGTCCCAACAGAGCCCTGAGAGAATAAACTCAGCCTTCTCCCTTGAGATTTTCTTTTCACTGGGTCTGAGAACAGCAGGAGGAAAAGAGTATAAATTCAGAATGCCAGGGGGAAGCACAAAGTATTTTAGAAATACTTTTAAGTGGCAAAGTCAATGCTCTTTCAAATCCTTCATTGTTCACAACTGATTTTAAAGATACTAACAATTTAAGAGTACAGCTTTTAAAGTAATTTCTTCTCGTGGCGTCCAGGAACTTGCTTGACAGGTAGCTTTTTTTTTCACTCAAATGATCAGAACACAAATGGGCAGCCTAAGTGTCTGGTTCCAGGGCTTCCTTCAGGGAATCCCTGCACTCCTCAAGGTCACTGTGGCAGCATAACTTACTCTGAGCAACCCTACACTGGTTCCCCACTCCTGGACAAGGGACCGATGTACCTCAGTTTATCTCAAGCAGAAGTTAGGGTTTTGTTTCTAAATGGTATTAGAGTTGTTTTAAAATGTAATTTCTCTACCACAATGTTCTATACTGGTGAGCCATTCAGGATACTTGGGCCCTTAAAAGACGTACTCCCCTGTTCCTTCCTCTCATTCTTACCTCCCTCCCTTTGAGACAGGGTCTCGCTCTGTCACCCAGGCTGGAGTGTAGTAGCATGATCATAGCTCACTGCAGCCTTGACCTCTGGGGCTCAAATGATCCTCCCACCTCAATCTCCTGAGTAGCTGGGACCATAGGCATGGGCTACCATGCCCAGCTAATCTTTAAATTTTTTGTCGTCACGGCTCTCCCTATGTTGCCTAGGCTGGTCTCCAACTCCTGGCTTCAAGCAATTCTCTCATTTAGCCTCCCAAAGTGCTGACTCCTCCCCCATCTCTATGTGCCAGTAGAAGAAAGAGTATTTGGGAATTAGAAGAGGTGGGTTATGGCTGAAATGTCTGTACTAACTAGCCGTGGGACTCAGGGAAGCCAGGTCATCTTTCTGGGTCTGTTCCTTATCTCCAAAATAGACTTTACATGCTCTAAGGTTTACTCCTGCTCTAAAGTTCTAGGTTTCTTCTTGTAGCTTCTCCCATCTTTTTTTTTTTTTTTTTAAAGAGACAGGGTCTTCCTATGTTGCCCAGGCTGGTCTCCAACTCTGGGCCTAAAGTGATCCTCCTGTCTTGGCCTCCCAAAGTGCTGGAATTAACAGGTGTGAGGCACCATGTTGGCCTCCTCCTCTATCTCTATGTGCTCCTTTTTTTGAAATTTGCATTAGTTTTTAGATGGGCTTAATAAATACTTTTTGTCTTCTTAAAATGTTTTTCTTAAAACTATGATAGTTCCTTAAAAAAGAAGTTTAGCTCACTGAAAGCACAGTTTTCTAAGTATGTAGTTTATGAAACTTGGAAAATAAACAGACTGAATTTATTAGGGCTTTCTCAGTATCTTTTAACACTCTCAATATATCCAATGTTTTCCTGGAGAGCTCTTTTGTCTTGGTGTGCAGTAATGTTGCATTCAGTAAATGGGTAAGAAGATAAAATGTCCCCTCCTTGGATTTTCCTGAATTGTTTCTCTGTACATAATACATACCCTAAATGTACACATGTATACGGTTTGATGTAAATGAGGTCATTGTTTATTTCATGTAAATAATTACTTTTTACCCTAACTTACTTTTTTTGAGGTATATTGTCATAAATGTAAATGTATCAATTTAAAATATTTACTGTGAAGGCCGGGCGCGGTGGCTCACGCCTGTAATCCCAGCACTTTGGGAGGCCGAGGCGGGCGGATCACAAGGTCGGGAGATCGAGACCACGGTGAAACCCCGTCTCTACTAAAAATACAAAAAATTAGCCGGGCGCGGTGGCGGGCGCCTGTAGTCCCAGCTACTCAGGAGGCTGAGGCAGGAGAATGGCATAAACCCAGGAGGCGGAGCTTGCAGTGAGCCGAGATCGCGCCACTGCACTCCAGCCTGGGCGACAGAGCGAGACTCCGTCTCAAAAAAAAAAAAAAATAAAAATAAAATAAAATAAAATAAAATAAAATATTTACTGTGAAGAATTTTAACTAATATATACATGTAGCTATGTTACTATTACCCAAATCAATATAAGAAACTTTCCATCACCCCGAGAAAGTTATTTCATATCCCTTTCCTCAGGCAATTACTATTCTGATTTTTATCATAATAGAGTAGTTTTTGCCTGTTCTTGACTATTGAATACGGTATGTAAAAATTAGCCAAGCCTGGTGGTACATGCCTGTAGTCCCAATTACTCAGGAGGGCTGAGGTAGGAAGATTGCCTGAGCCTGGGAGTTTGAGGCTGCAGTGAGCTGTGATGGCGTCACTGCACTCCAGCCCTGGTGACACAGTTAGGTGAGACTCTTTTTCCAAAAAAAATAAGAAAAAGAGGAGTGAATGCCCCCTCTTCTCCAATCCAAATAATTGGATGATAAGTAATTAAAAATTGCTATTAATAGTAAGCCTTAGTATCTTGGCCAGTTTCTTACAGAGGACGATAAATGATTCCATGTGGATAGGGCATAACATATAGAGAATGAGACTATGTCAGAAGAGGGAGAAGGGATTTGAAACAACATGAGTTTCTCAGGGACAGATGGATTGGTTCTGCTATTGGTAGGCCTGGAAGGCAAGGTCAGAAGTAGCAAAAAATGGATAACAAAAGCACTACTTGTCACCCAAGCTAAGTGGAATAGCTGGCCCAGTAGGAGAAATGTAGGTTTTGCTCTACACTGAGTTCTCCAACTCTTGATAAGCCTCCAAAAACAAATGTTAGGGAAAAAAAATGCAGCTGGTTATGAAAAGATATTTTATCTCATTTCATTAAAAAATCAACGTCAACACTGTTAATAGAATCATTTTATCCTCAGGATAGAGGCAATGCTCTAAACAAACACCAATTCAAGAGCCTCTGATGCCAACCCAGGGGGTACCCAAACACAAACTTAGCATAGAGGTAAGAGTCTCTATGTCTTTTGGTGGAGGCAAAGCCATTTGGTTGGTACTTCATAGGAATATCTTTCTACCACGTCTTCATCATATGGTATGTGCCACGAGTCTCCAGTTGTTTGCACCACTGTGTCATAGCTGAGAATATGCTGTTGAATTAAAAAGAGAACAAAACATTGAGAACAACACTAAAGGGCTACCTGGCCATTTCCCTTTCTGACACTTCTCAAGTTTGCTTCAGAAGAGTATTAATAATGGATTATCTCACTTAATGATGGATTTTCAAAGGGCAGCTAACTCTGTGAAGATGAGCCCTAGCATTAGGAGTTTCTTTTTTTGAGGGGTCTCATTTTTACGTCTAAAGACTCTCTATAGAAGCATTACATTTATGTAAGACAGATATTCTTTTGTTGGCTCTATCAGTTTTGTGTGTGTGAGTGAAAAATTTCAAATACAGTCAGCCTTCCATAACTGCAGGCTTTGTATCCCTGGCAAACCACCACGGACTGAAAATATTTGAAAAAAACAACAACAACAAAAAAAAACTGAACATGTACAGACTTTTTTCTTCTTGGCATTATTCCCTAAACAATACAGAAACAACTATTTATATAGCATTTACATTGTATTAGGTATTATAAATAATCTAGATGACTCAAAGTATACAGGAGGATGTGTGTAGGTTATATGCAAATACTATGCCATTTTATATAAGGGACTTAAGCATTTGAGGATTTTAGTATCTGTGAGAGGTCCTGAGACCAATTCCTCATGGATACCAAGGAACAACTGCACACAAAAGTAGAGAAATGGTATCATGAACTCCCATGTACTCATCACCTAGGTTCGGCCATTATCAATTCATCTCTAGTCTTATTTCATCCATACGGTGCCCCCCCCCACCTCAGATATGTAATTTCTTCTGTAATACTTCAGTATGTATCTCTAAGAAATAAGGTCTTATTTTATAAATGTAAGATCAATATCTGTATACCTTTATTATACTTAAGAATTAATAGTTCTTCAACTATATCTTGAATCACTATGGTATCATTTGATACCATATTTACCACAAATCTATTGTTTTGGATATTCTTATTTATTTACTTTTATAGAGACAGGGTCTTACCATGTTGCCCAGGCTAGTCTTAAACTCCTAGGCTCAGGCAATCTTCCTGCTTTGGGCCTCCCAAAGTGCTGGGATTACACAAGTGAGCCACTACACCCAGCCATTCTTACTTATTTTTAAATTGACGAATAACAATTATATACATTTATCATGTACAGCATGTTTTTGAAATATGCATACATTGTAGAATAGCTAAATTGAGCTAATTAACATGAGTATTACCTTATATATTTACAATTTTTGTGGTGAGAACACTTAAAATCTACTCTTAGCAATTTTCAAGGATACAATACATTGTTATTAATTATTAACTACAGTCATCATGGAACTTATTCCTCTTATCTAACTGAAATTTTTTCTCCTTTGACCAACATCTCCCCACTCCCCTAAACTCCATTTTTTTTTTTTGAGACGGAGTCTTGCTCTGTCACCCAGGCTGGAGTGCAGTAGCACAATCTCAGTTCACTGAAACCTTCACCTCCCAGGTTCAAGCGATTCTTGTACCTCAGCCTCCTGTGTAGCTGGGATTACAGGCACACACCACCACGCCTGGCTAATTTTTGTATTTTTAGTAGAGATGAGGTTTCGCTATGTTGGCAAGGCTTGTCTTCAACTCCTGACCTCAAGTGATCCACCCACCTTGGCCTCCCAAAGTGCTGAGATTACTGGCGTGAGCCATCACGCCTGGCCAATATTTTCTGATCATTGAACCTTATTTATTATACCACGGGCCAGTGTACTTTTCTGTAATAACTCACTTTGGATTCTCTACCTTTGCTTTCACACAAGATATGTCCTTATATTATAGATATCTTAACTAGAATCAAACGAGAATTCAATTGAGACTGTGTCATAGAAATTAATTAAACAGGGAAAACAAATTACTTAAAAGTATAACAAACTAAGAAATAAGGAATTTGAGCTATTGCAAATAAACAAAAATAAAAAACGTATATAAGAAGTCACAATTTATGGCAGGGTACGGCGATTCACACCTGTAATCCCAGCACTTCGGGAGGCCGAGGTGGGCAGATTATGAGGTCAGAAGTTCAAGACCAGCCTGACCAACATGGTGAAACCCCATCTCTACTAAAAATACAAAAATGAGCTGGGCGTGGTGGCACGTGCCTGTAGTCCCAGCTACTCCAGAGGCTAAGGCAGGAGAATCGCTTGAACCCAGGAGGCGGAGGCTGTAGTGAGCTGAGATTATGCCACTGCACTTCAGCCTGGGCGAAAGAGCGAGACTACATCTCCAAAAAAAAAAAAAAAGTCATAATTTATGACATAATTAATTGAAGTCAAAATTGGTGATATCCTAAATGTTTTTTGGTTTTTGTTTTTGAGACAGCGTCTTGCTCTGTTGCCCAGGCTGGAGTGCAGTGGCGTGATCTCGGCTTACTGCAAGTTCTGCCTCCAGGGTTCACACCATTCTCCTGCCTCAGCCTCCTGAGTAGCTGGGACTACAGGCACACACCAACACACCTGGCTAATTTTTTTTTTTTTTTTTTTTTTTTTGTATTTTTGGTAGAGACGGGGTTTCACCTTGTTAACCAGGATGGTCTCGATCTCCTGACCTTGTGATTTGCCTACCTTGGCCTCCCAAAGTGCTAGGATTACAGGCGTGAGCCACCGTGCCCGGCCCCTAAATGTTTTAATTAATTTGAGGTTGGCCTATGAAACCTTTAGCAGACTCTTTCTAGGAACTGGCTAGTAATAAATACTAACCTAAAACTGAGAAAAATAAAGCATTTAGAACCTTCAATTAGATGTGACACTCTTTTTCTATGCCACATTCTTACTGTATACTTGACTCTGTTAATATTACATAGAGAACAGATACCATTACCTGAAAGGTCAGTTTTGATCCTGGAAACCCATTTATAATTGCCAGCTGATGTCCCTGCTGCCACTTAAAAAACAAGCGTTGGGTCTTGGTATCAGGCAGACAGGCCTTGTGGTCCCGCATCAGGTCTTTTGTGATAAACCTGCAGTGATTCCCGGAGTGCAGTGTGGCATACAGAAGGAATGGATCATCCTTCGAGCTGAACCAGGCATAAGAAAGGACACAATCAAGCACAGCTGAAGAGGCAGAAGACAGCGTTTTTTCGCTACACTTTTTACTTACTTTCCTTGGAGGTGCCTCTGAATTCTTGACCAGCATGATCCTAGTAATACTTAAGAACTACCTGAAAGTCCTTAGCTGGTAAGCAATACCATCTAGAACACAGATGGAAAGCTGAGGGGAATGGAATGCTATGCCTGGGATTCTCACAGCTTACTGGACTCTTCCACTAGAACGATGAATTCTAACAGTGCTCTCCTCACACTTAAAAGTTGCTTCTCTTTGGGCATTTTTCGTATTTGCCTTATCGATCACAGAGCACACCTTTTCCCTCTCTCTTCACCCAAATTCAAGAAACACCCAATATACTACTAGGGCAGGATGAGACTTTCTTGCAAGCCACCAAATAACTGGCTGCCCCTGAAGCTGAACTGGTATTTCAGAGCAGCTTCTAGACAGTCACCTGGATCAGCACCCCAAAACATCTTCTTTGGTAAGAGCCAGTGACTCAAAGCCTCCAACAGACCATCAACCTTAGCACTTATCATTTTAATAAATGTGCTCTAAAAATGGCAGTAACGGCCTTGCTTTAGGAGATTCAGACTGCAACTTGTGATATGCCCTATGCCTTGATTCAAATGACCCTAAATAGGACAATTTAAAGTTTTCTTTATCCTGAAGTATTTCAAGTGAAATGATAAAATGACGAAATCTGCCTTATAACTCTCCAGGAAAAAAAGAAAAAGAAAAAAAGTGTGCGGTTTATAGAACAAAATTAGCAAAATGATGGTAATTGTTGGAGCTGGGTGACAGTTACATGGGGACTCACTATTCACTACACTATTCTCTCTAGTGTATGTTTGAAAAGCTTCTTTAGTACATTAGTGGAAAACAGATTTAGTGATAAACATTTAAATATTCAAATCCAAAGCCACAGAAGGTAAGTGAATTGATCATTACAACTGAGTTTGGAACTTCAGCTGATGCAACAAATACAGACCCCAAACCAAGCAGTGAGACCACTTTCCGACAGGTTTCTTGGTCATAACGCTTCAAATTTATCTAATTCTTCCATATAAGGAAAACAATAATGATCATGACAGCAACTAACATAAATGGTTTTCATGTACTTGGTGCTGTGCCAAGAGTTTTACATGAGTTATTTACAGGTATTATCTTATTTAATCCTTAAAACAAGCCCATAAAGGTTACACAGGAGATAAAGAAGACAGAGAGAAAGGAAACACTTTTCCCAAACATGGAGTGGCAGGGCCATGATCTCAACCTGGGTAAACTAATTCCCAAGCCTGCAATCTTACTGTCTACCCAATGTTGCCATTAGGTCTTCTGCTCTTGGAGAAATGGAAGCACCATCTTCCAGCTACAAAAAGAAGGTATGTGGTTTGGGAACTGGATGAGAGGTTTGCTTCTCCCTTGCTTTATGCATTGAGAACCATTGCACTTTTTAAATAATAAATGATTTGGGGGCCAGGCGAGGTGGCTCATGCCTGTAATCCTAGCACTTTGGGAGGCTGAGAGGCAGGCGGATCACGAGGTCAGGAGTTCGAGACCAGCCTGGCCAACATGGTGAAACTCCATCGCTACTAAAAATAAAAAAATTAGCTGGGCATGGTGGCGGGTGCCTGTAATCCCAGCTACTTGGGAGGCTGAGGCAGGAGAATTGCTTGAACCCGGGAGGCAGAGGTTGCAGTGAGTCAAGATTGTGCCACTGTACTACTCCAGCCTGGGTGACAGAGCAGGACTCCGTCTCAATAAAATAAAATAAATGATTTGGAGAATACTGACAAATCTTGAAGTTATCACATTCAGACTATGAAACCTAGATTTGGGGCTGAGGCATATACATTCATTATCTAAGCAAAGTTGGAAATAAAGTTGTGTTAGCATAAACAATACGAAAACCTCAATGCACAAGAGTGCACTGAGTTCACGTGTGCTGTTGCGGATCTGTAGTCCTCCTAATTAGCTATCTTTTTCCTTACTTTATAGCGACTGTAGGTTGGTGGTTTTTTTTTTTTTTTTTGAGACTGTCTCACTCTGTAACCCAAGCTGGAGTGCAGTGGCACGATCTCAGCTCACTGCAACCTCTGCTTTCCAGGTTCAAGTAATTCTGCTGTCTCAGCCTCCCAAGTGGCTGGAACTACATGCGTGTGCCACCACACCCGGCTAATTGTATTTTTATTTATTTATTTATTTTATTTTATTTTATTTTATTTTATTTTATTTTATTTTTGAGACGGAGTCTCGCTCTGTCGCCCAGGCTGGAGTGCAGTGGCCGGATCTCAGCTCACTGCAAGCTCCGCCTCCCGGGTTCACACCATTCTCCTGCCTCAGCCTCCCGAGTAGCTGGGACTACAGGCGCCCGCCACCTCGCCCGGCTAGTTTTTTGCATTTTTTAGTACAGACGGGGTTTCACCGTATTAGCCAGGATGGTCTCGATCTTCTGACCTCGTGATCCGCCCGTCTCGGCCTCCCAAAGTGCTGGGATTACAGGCTTGAGCCACCGCGCCCGGCCTAATTGTATTTTTAGTAGAGATGGGGTTTGCTATGTTGGCCAGGCTGGTCTCGAACTCCTGATCTTGAGTGATCTGCCTGCCTTGGCTTCCCAAAGTGCTGTGATTATAGGCATGAGCCACCGTGGCTGGCTTACTGTAGGTTTTGTTACTGACCATGTTTACCATGTTCCTTTGGCTTCCTGGGAAGCTGCAGCTCAACAGTAATTTTCTCCTTACATTTAGCATAAAATCTAGGCCTCCTGCTTGTCTACCAGGATCCGTAAGTTCCTCCGTATTGGGGTCTCTGCCTTCTCTCTAATCTCAGAACTTATTACTTTCCCTCTTGCTATTATAGCCCAACTGGCCTTCTTGCTTTCCTCAAACACATGCCAAGCTTACGCCTGCCTCAGGGCTCTTTTTTTTTTTTTTTTTTGAGATGGAGTCTCGCACTGTTACCCAGGCTGGAGTGCAGTGGCGCGATCTCGGCTCACTGCAAGCTCCGCCTCCCGAGTTCATGCCATTCTCCTGCCTCAGCCTCCTCAGCATCTGGGACTACAGGCACCCGCCACCACGCCCAGTTAATGTTTTGTATTTTTAGTAGAGACAGGGTTTCACCATGTTAGCCAGGATGGTCTCGATCTCCTGACCTCATGATCCGCCTGCCTCGGCCTCCCAAAGTGTTGGGATTACAGGTGTGAGCCCGGCCTGCCTCAGGGCTTTTTAAATATTTCATGTTATTTGGGATGTTCTTCCCACCATCTCTCCCCCTTTCTCAAATAACTCACTCCTCATCAAATTTGCCCCTCAGAAAGGCTGTTCTTGACCACCCCATTCACAACCCTCTGAACTATCCCTTACCTAAACTCTATCTACCTTGCTTTATTGTCCCCATAGTACTAATCACTGCCTGGAATGACATTACCTGTTTATTTATCTGTTTATTGTAAATTCTAAGAGGGTACTGCTCTTTCTCCAAGAACATAGAAAGTGCTCCTGTTGGTCAAGTATTTGCTAAATGATCTACTTAGGATCTTATGGCATGTATTTGGTGTACTAATCTCACTCCTGACTTATCTTCTCCCCACTTCTCCTTTATCCTGATTTCCTCATCTGTTTAAGTTTATCCTGCCATAGAAACTGTAGTGTTTTTTTTTTTTTTTAGAAGAAACTAGTTTTGTAAGTTGTCTCAAATCTTTTTTTTTTTAAATGAGGGTGAGTATACATATACACATGCATTTAAAAAATAGGTTTTAAAGTAGGTAACTAATAAGCAGATGTCTGGAGCACTGTATAATTCACCTATTACCCCCAACACTTACATGTTATCAGCAAAAAAACAGCTGGCTTGCTTTTGCACCTCTGCCATCTCATCCTTTCTCCACTGGAAACTCTGTCTTAACATGTGCTTTCGGCCTAGGACCAGCAGTCGCAGATTCTGTTTGGCTAGTTGAGAGACGACATTCAAGAGCTAAAAAACACAAAGCCAGAACCCCAAGAGGTCAAGTGAAGACTCTCAAATTAGTGGAGTGATTTTTTCCAGCAGGTCACCTCAATGGTAAAGCACTATTTTCTGGTAAGGGGTAAGAAAACAATCCATAATAATTTCCCATCTTTGAAAGCCTGAGGAAAAGGTTTCCCTATTACACATTAATGTCTAACATCTACCTATTGGTCAGGCTACATTGCAGAGAGGTTTTTCTTTTTTGTGTATGTGTGTGACAGGGTCTCACTCTGTTGTCCAGACTGAAGTGCACAGGTGCAATCACAGCTCATTGCAGCCTTGAATTCCTGGGCTCAAGCAATCTTCCCACTTCAGTCTCCTGAGTAGTTGGGACCACAGATGTGAGCCATCACGTCTGGCTTTTTTTTTTTTTTTCTCTGAGACAGAGTTTCACTTTTGTTGCCCAGGCTGGAGTACAATGGCGTGATCTCAGCTCACTGCAGCCTCTGCCTCCCGGGTTCAAGCGATTTTCCTGCCTCAGCCTCCCAAGTAGCTGGGATTACAGGCATGCACCACCACGGCCAGCTAATTTTGTATTTTTAGTAGAGACGGGGTTTCACAATGTTGGTGAGGCTGGTCTCGAACTCCTGACCTCAGGTGATCCACCCGCCTGAGCCTCCCAAAGAGATGGGATTACAGCCGTGAGCCACCATGCCCAGCCTAATCAGCCTAATTTTTTTTTTTTTTGGTACAGATGGGATCTCACTATGCTGCCCAGGCTGGTCTTGAACTTCTGGCCTCAATAAATTCTCCTGCATTGGCCTCCCAAAGCACTGGGATTACAAGTGTGAGCCACTGCACCCAGCCTAGTTCAGTTGTTTTAAACTGTGCTCTTTAGGGCCCACTAGGATAGAGATAGAGAGGCTCAAGAGGGATGGGATTTTGTTTCCTAGGATTTCATTTCCTATACATTTCAAACCTTGTTTCAACCCAAACAGCTCAACCTTTATATATTTATCACACTGGTATTCTGCATAAGTTTTGATTTGAATAAAGGCTTCTACTTCTTTTTAAGTTTGTAAATGATTAGACTAGACAGTGACTTTTCTATGTTATGACTTGATTGCTAATACTGCCTCCTTTCATTGAAATTCCCTTTTCTACAAAAGATCTGTCGATTTCTACCCTGTAGCCTACTTTCCAGTCAGTTACTTTATCCCCATTCTCTCTACTTCCCATCGGCCTCCACTTCATTGTGTGCACATGAACTCCTCAAAGGTCTAGACTTGGGTTTTTAGAAATCTAGTACTTTGGTGAGCTTGCCTATACTCAATTTTTCATAAGGAAAAGTACATAAATTACTTTTATGTACCACCTATTAAACTAAGCTATAAATGGATATTACTAAGTAAAACAAAAGCTGAAAAAACTGTAACTTGTATTATATAATCATATATCAGAAATATAAAAGATCTTTAATTTATAAGAATTGCTGGGCCCACAAAAACCACAAGTTGAAAGGTCTTGCAGAAATCCTTAATTTTCTTGGGTCTTGGTTGGAAGAGGTATTTATTTTACTCTAGCTTCTCTTTACTCATAAGTTCCTCCTCTGTAGATTTTCAGGACATTATTTAAAGCCTTATAATAAATAAAATTAATTCATTTATTTAATCAGTTATCAAATATTACATTAGTACCTGTTATATCCAATATACATGTAGACTCTGATGATCTAATAATGAATTAGCAAGGGCTGAATTTTTTATTTTTTATTTATTTATTTTTTAATTTTTGAGACGAAGTCTCGCTCTGTCGCCCAGGCTGGAGTGCAGTGGCGCAATCTCACTTCACTGCAACCTCCGCCTCCCGGGTTCTTCTGCCTCAGCTTCCAGAGTAGCTGGGACTACAGGCATGCGCCATCATGCCTGGCTAATTTTTGTATTTTTAGTAGAGATGGGGTTTCACCATATTGGCCAGGCTGGTCTGGAACTCCTGACCTCGTGATCCACCTGCCTCGGCCTCCCAAAGTGTTGGGATTACAGGCGTGAGCCACTGTGCTTGGCCAGCTGAATTTTAAAAATATTACTGTTTATTGCTTTGGACCGATACTGAATTTTTGTCCACTCCATTGCTAATCTTATTTCAGTAAGGAGTAGTTGGTTTTTTAATCCCTAATTATTAGTTCTATAATTAAGACATAGAATGGGCTGGGTATGGTAGCTCACATCTGTAATCTCAGCACTGTGGGAGGATGAGACTGGAGGGCTGCTTGAGGTAAGAAGTTTTAGACCAGCCTAGTCAACACAGCAAGACCTTGTCTCTATTTAAAAAAAAAAAAAATTAGGCCAGGCACCGTGGCTCTCACCTGTAATCCCAGCATTTTGGGAGGCTGAGGCGGGCGGACCACTTGAGGTCAGGAGTTTAAGACCAGCCTGGCCAACATGGCTCCACCTCTACTACAAATACAAAAATTAGCTGGGCATGGTGATGCATGTCTGTAATCCCAGCTACTGAGGAGGCTGAGGCAGGAGAATTGCTTGAACCCGTGAGGTGGAGGTTGCCGTGAGCTGAGATTGCAACACTGCACTCCAGCCTGGGTGACAGAGCAAGACTCCATCTCAAACAAATGAATGAATGAATGAATGAATGAATAAATAAATAAATAAAATAAAAATTAGCCAGGCATGGTGGCATGCACCTGTGGTACTGGCTACATGAGAGGCTGAGGCAGGAGGATTGCTTGAAGGAGTTCAAGGCTACAGTGAGCTACAATTGTACCACTGCACTCCTTGGCAACAGAGTGAGACACCATCTCTTAAAAAAAAAAGAATGGACACAACTTGCCCACTTCAGATTCAAGTTTAGCTCAACTTGCAGGTTGAGCTAAACCTGCTTGAGTGTTAGCTCAACCTTAAAACACTTGAAACACTCAACCTTGAAACACTCAACCTTGAGGACACCAAACCCAAAGATTTACAACTAGTAAAATACAGTTCTTTCCTTCAAAGCTAGGAACAATGGTTTCTGTGCTCAGGCAGTTATTTCCTAGACCTCTCTATGTGTAAGGCATATGGTAGGTATCACAGCTACAGAATTTTAAGCCATAGTCCCTGCCTTTAGTAACGGAGTACCCAATATTATTATAATTATTTTGAGACAGAGTCTTGCTCTCTCACTCAGGCTGGAGTGCAGTAGCACAATCTCAGCTCATTGCAACCTCCGCCTCCTGGGTTCAAGTGATTCTCCTGCCTCAGCCTCCTGAGTACCTTGGATTACAGGCACCCACCACCACACCTGGCTAATTTTTGTATTTTTAGTAGAGACGGAGTTTTACCATGTGGCCAGGCTGGTCTCAAACTCCTGACCTCAGGTGATCCACCCACCTCGGCCTACCAAAGTGCTGGGATTACAGGCGTAAGCCACCGTGCCCAGCCTCCAATATTTTCTTATGTAACTATCAAGACTAAGAAAACATATATGCTGGCTCTACACATATTGGATGGGTCCTAAATATATTTTTTCATTAATAAATATTTTCTAATTAGCTGAAGAATATGCCCAACATCCATTTTCATCCATCATAAAGTAGCTCATATTTGAAAACTTGAAAAATGAAAGAACAAATGACTCACAGCTCACTACCCAAAGACAATGTCTATTTACCAGTCTTTCTGTTCTATTTATTTTTTATTTTTATTTTATTTTATTTTATTTTTCTTTCCAAATCAATAGGTCTTTTGCATCATTTAAATATCACAAATAGCTCTCGGGAATCATCCGGCATCTTATTTCAGAAGCTGGACTACTCTTAGATCTTATTCATCAGCCGGCTGAACGGTTCCTTTTTCAGGGACATAGATACCATCCAAAAATTTCCTATATCCTTGTTTTTAACTGCTGTGGCTTGCTTAATCAAAGCCTCTAAATTGGAAACAAGCTCAATGTCATTACCTTCAAGGATTAATTCATCTTTCTGGGCTTGAGATACTGAACAAGCAACACCTGGTCTCATCCAAACCCTGAGGACATATTTTTCACCCAAGAAATTTCAGATTTCAACAAGAGATCCATTCTCCTGGATAATGACATTGATGGGGAAGTAAGCATACATAGACCTCACCTTATAATGGAAGCCCAGTGTTAACACCCTTGATCATGTTCTGTACATGACTACAAATAGTCTGAACGGCAGCCAGTTCCTTTCTGTTTCCCCACCATTTGTCAACCTGGAGCCTCTTTTTTTTCTTTTCAAGAAGATTGAATCTACACTGATGTGACTGAAGTCCCTCTGCAGGGTTCTTCTGGGGCCTTTCACAATAACTGTGTGTCCCTTCACAGTAATGTCACCATTTTTTGGAATGTAGACAGTCTGATTGCTGAGAATGGTCTTCATTCTCTCAGTAGACACAGCAAAGAAAGCTATTCTATGTATGTTTAAACATAATCTTATAAGCTATTTTAAAAGTTGGGTTAGTAATAAAAGAGCAAACATCTATACTAGTAAACTTTGATTCATAGATTCAAATAGCTCAAAAGACATAGGCTGGGTCTGGTGGCTCAGGCCTGTAATCCCAGCACTTTGGGAGGCTGAGGCAGGAGGACTGCTTGAGGCCAGGAGTTCGAGACCAGCCTGGGCAACACAACAAGACCCTGTCTCTAAATAATAATAATAATAATACAATTATTAAATAATTCAAACAAAAACTATTTCTGATACTGATTGCTTAAGTTTCCAGGCAAATGGGAAAACATGGCTTAAAGATAAATACAGTTGTGTCTTCATAGCTGTATCCTGGTTTAGATAAATGGTCTTGAGTTTACTAATAGTACATTAAAGACTGGGGCCCAGGGAAGAACAGAAAAGCCTATCTTGAACTACTCTGGGGAACCATCTTGTGGCTGAGAAGTCTCTACTAGAAGCAGCTCTCTGAAAACAATGAAAACAAGGAGAATAAATGAAAGACACGGGGAAAAAGATGAGTGTGCAGCATAAAAGCCCTGGCCTGAAACGCCATGACAGTCCAGCC